CACCCACACCCAAGATAGTCACACCCACACCCATACCCACACCCACACCCACGCCGACACCCATACTCACACCCACACACACCCACACCCATTCACACCCACACCCCACCCCACACCACCCACACCCACCACACACCCACATCCTGATCAATATTTAGCTAGTTGTCATAGTTCTCGTTGGCAAGGATGGAGTAATTTGAAATTAGCTCGCTGTCTATCGATGACACCTGTTATTTTTAGTCTACTAATAGCAATTCCATGTTTAATTTACTATATTCAAAATGTATCACTCACTACAGAAGAATTAACATGTACGACTACCGATGCATTCTTCCAACAATTAAATATTTATTTTTATCGTCTCATTATGGCCAAGGCCAATATGTTACCTCTGTTCGTTACACTTGTATTCGGATTGTTGACTTATCAAAATGTAAAATCCATTGCTTATCGAACAGTACGTCTTGTTCGATGAGAATTGGATAAACAATTAACAGTGATGGTTCTTGTACAAGATATTTTCACTTACATTACTCTTTTTTGCACCAACGACTTTAAGAATAGTATCACTCAATCCGAATATAACTCAAGATCCTTTGAGTGAAGCACAATATCAATTAGCTAATGTTATAACTGTGATGTTTTACTATCTATACTTTGCTGTAAGTCTGAATAGTTTATATTTTATTATCAATTTGTTTGTCAATTATTTAGGGTCCATTTTATATTTATATATGTGTTTCTGAACGATTTCGTCATCAATTAAAATATGTTCTTTTAGATATTCATCTTAATCGATGGCGATGAGCAAGACCAATTGTTAATCAAGTAACACTGCAAATCTAAGAATCACTACATTTGTCATTCAATCAATTCTTCCAATACTCTATAGAAACAAATCAATTAAAACTGGAATTGACGACTGATTCGAGACATTTTAAAAAATTTCCATGCCAAGAATGTTTTCGAAAGCGTTATGTTTCTAACCAATAATTTGGTAAAAGTTTTGAATGTATGTGTACTATTTAAATATCACAAAAATTGTTGTACGTAAATTTTTGTCTACGTATCAATATATCTATATTGTTTGCACAAAAGTGTGCTTATGACTACATGTAAAGTTAGTTTTTTAAGAAATACTAGGGCAGTCAAAAGGTTCTGTCACTTTCAAATATTTATTCATAGGAAAAGCATTTTGCTATTCTATTTACAGTAAATGTTCGAAGTAGTTCTCATGATGTTCGATACAAAGTTTCATCCTCTCAATCCACTTCTGAAAGGTCTTTTGGTATTCGTGAATAGGTATTGATTTAAGTGCCTTGATTATTGCTTTAGCTAAACTTGTATTATCTGGATATGTGTCAAGGTTACATTGCAGACAACTGAACAATCAAAAGTCTGAAGGACTAAGGTCAGGTACCTATAGTGGATAAACCATAACTTTGGTTTTCCTTCTTGAGTATAATTAAGATTAAGATTAATATCCTGTATACGCATTTTTGCATTGTCGAGATGCTATTTTTTTTATGATGATTTTTTCTTGTGTAAATTTTTGACTAATCTTTTTAAACATTCATCACGATAATATATGTAATTGGCGTGTCTGAGGTGGTAGCAATATAATCAATACTAATATGTGAATCATTGTTCACAATATCTTTAGCAGCATCAATATTTTCTTGAGTAATGGTCGTTATTGGACGCAGAGGCGGCGGAGCCCTTAGGTTTGAGGAGGCTCAAGCCTTCCCTAAAAAAACTTTGGGGAGGCTCAGATATTTGTAAAGATTTTACAAATCTCGTCCTGACCTTATATTTAGTAGGTGAAAACTCTTTGAACGAGACAAGGGGGAAACAGCAGAGACTTCAGTCGTGAAGTCCCATGAAGTCCTGAAAGTCTTATGAAGTCTCTTTGAAGTCTTATGAATTCTCATGAATTTTCATAAAGTCTCTTGAAGTCTCTGAAGTCTCATAAAGTCTTCTGAAGTCTCATAAAGTCTTATGAAGTCTAATGAAGTCTCTTGAAGTCCCATGAAGTCTAATGACGTCTCATGAAGTCTCATGAAGTCTCATGAAGTCTCATGAAGTCTAATGAAGTCTCATGAAGTCTCTTGAAGTCTAATGAAGTCTCATGAATTCTTCTGGAAGTCTTGAAATACATTTAGTGCATGAAAATTCATAAGAAATCAATGAAATTGGCTTGTTTTCGACGGTATTATTTTAGCAGAAAGGTGAACTTTTTATTGTTTGTTTGTCAAGGTGCTGAAAAAAAATTCAAGTTTGTTGGATCTTAGAAAACATGATAGTTAATAACTGAATGCTTTTTGAATGAAGTGGTTTATTTTTATAAGAAATGTCCCATCTATTCGATGCTAATAGTATGAAGAATTTTATTCCTTTTTGTTTATTTCTATCACTCATGATAATCTATCAGCCGATAAACGGCTAGCTTTGTCGGTCAATAACCAACAAGTCATTTGCTTGTGTATAAATTTAGTCTTGTTATTTATTTGCACCGGAAAATAGGAGTTTTTCAATGCTGGATTAATCGAATCAAATATACGCATACCAGTAAAGTTTACTTTCTGTTTTAATTTCATCAACGCATTGTTGTCATTGTCACATCTTTATTCTAGATATAGATATACTACGAGAAACAATTCTCAGAAACAAGAAACACTTTTGTAATCTCTATATGATAAGTTTTGTTTTTTGTATGTTATACAGGTTTCATGTAATTTCTATAAGGTTTTTTGATACGCACGGAATTTGCCTCTTGAAGTCCTGTGAGGTCTTGTGAAGTCCTGTAAAGTCTTGTGAAGTCCTGTGAAGTCTTGTGAAGTCCTGTGAAGTCTTGTGAAGTCCTGTGAAGTCTTGTGAAGTTTTGTGAAGTCTTGTGAAGTCTTGTGAAGTTTTATGAAGTCTTGTGAAGTCTCATGAAGTCTTATGAAGTCTTGTGAAGTCTCATGAAGTCTTGTGAAGTCTTGTGAAGTCTTGTGAAGTTTTATGAAGTCTTATGAAGTCTTGTGAAGTCTTATGAAGTCTGATGAAGTCTTATAAAGTCTCAAGAAGTCCTACTAAGTCTCTGAAGTCTCATGACGTCCGTGAAGTCTAATGAAGTCTAATGAAGTCTCATGAAGTCTAATGAAGTCTCATGAAGTCTCTTGAAGTCTCTTGAAGTCTCTTGAAGTCTAAGAAGTCTCATGAAGTCTCATGAAGTCTCATGAAGTCTAATGATGTCTAATGAAGTCTTGTGAAAAATCTGAAGTCACTGCAGTTGAAGTCTGTTGAAGTCTTTTGAAGTCTTTTGAAGCCTTGAAGTCCGCTGTTTCCCCCTTGGAACGAGATCGCGTTCAGCTAGATGTTGGATAGCGCTATAGACAGCCAAGCCATTAGTATCCGAAAAACTCAAGCCTCCCATAAAAAATGAAAAAGAATGCTTGAAGAGACTCAATATTTGAGAAACTTTTACGAATCTCATCCTGAGTTTATATTGAATATCCCAAAGATATTATCAATATAATTTATTCTGTATATATCTTTACATACGCAAATGGTAAAATCTTGAATTTCTTTAAAATGTTTCGGTGGTGTCTAACAAAGCGATTCAAAAAATCCTGTTGATTTGCTCTGATGAATTTTAGACAGCTGAAAGGAAAGATGTATAAAAGGTTTCTACTTCAGATTATATTGGAGTTAACAAACACATTTGAAATAATATCTGTTTTTCATTTATCTTTGCACCGAAAATTGATAAAGACTTGAATCGCTTTTAAAGGTGTACCATTAAACTCTCGACAATATCCAGAGAAAAATGTTCTCTTGCCATACGGTAATCGATTTAGAGAGAGAAAAAAATAAAGATGTACGAGACACTGGAATTTTTCACCATAGCAGTAGAATAAACGCTCCAGAAATGGTTTAATAATTATTAAAGTCAAGCTTTGTCTATAAAAAAAAGCATTACTGAGTAAAATGATGCTACCAAAGTAATTTGTTTCCTGTTCAAAAGTCGCCATTAAAGAATTAAAAGTGAATAATTAGGCGCTTCATCGTTAAAATAGACGAGCAAAGTCAACTCAGAAGAGTGAAAAATTGTAACATCTTGTAAGTCGTTGATTTAATTTGGCTCAAAATTGATAAAGCTAGTCTAGAGGACATTTTGTTTCTTAAAAAAAAACATTCAAGTTTCTAGAATTTTTGTGCGGAGACTAATGAGAAATAGACATATTGAAGATGTATTAATTACTTCCAATATAATGGACAGTAACAATACTTCATACATCCTTTCTTTCGCTTTTCTAAAAACTTTTCAGAACAACTCAACAGATCCTTGTGATGCGGTTGTCTTAAAGAATTCAGTAACTTCTACGAATCATTCTTTCGAAATTTTTCTGTAAGTCTTCGTACTAATCTCATCGTCAAATGCAAGCAATTGAAATAAAGACGGATGCTTGGTTGAAGGTGAAAGATCACTCTTTCAGATCATATACTTTTTTAAACATGATTGAATTGTATCCTGCGCTATCAAACAGAGGAATTCCGTTTGCTGCATGAATCTAGTAAACGCCAAAAAAAGATAAATCACTGAAGATTTGCAAATATAACGGCGAATCTTTTGACGAAATTTCAAGATTACATGGTTTGTCTATACAAAAACTGTATACGAAATAAACCCAGTTGAAAACATATCGGGACAACTGACATCTCTTTAATATGAGTTAGAGTTGAAAAGGTATAAAATCGCCCCTTCCCGTTCATCTCACTCTCCCATTACTGCCTAAAAAATTTTGAGCCTCCCCTAAATTAGAGTCGTTCCGCCGCCTCTGATTGGACGACCACTTCGAGGATTATCTTCCAAGGATTCTCGCTCGTTTGAAAATCGTTCAATCCATCGAGCAACTATACGATATGAAACAACACCTTGTCCATAAGCAGCAGCTAATTCATCATGAATTTGTGCAGCAGTTAAACCTAATAAAAAACGAGTTTTTATATATGACCGTAAACACAGTTTACCCATCTGAAAACAGAGGTGTTCAAAACATTCGTTAAAAATTTGCTATGATAGACACTTGTGAAGCTTCGTATTGGTATTTTAATACATAACATATATGTTGCTACTAGAATAGGCCAACATGAGGAATAAAACCAATTTGGATGAAATTTTAGATAGCTGTTGTCAAAACTTTTTGACTGCCCTTAGTATAAATAGCTGACTAGTTTGAAATTGCAATTACCACTCTAAGCTTGTTTTGTTCAGTTGGATAACTTCTGAACAAAAAAACGAATATATCATGTATGTACCAAGAGATGTATAACTTCATTCAAGAAGATAAAAGACTTTTTCTCATCGTTTTTTCCACATTTAGAAGTTCAGACAATAACCTTTATTGGCATAATGAAATCCTTTTATACTTTTTTGTCAAATTGATGTTCTTCTTCGAGGACAATGGATAAAATTTCTATAAAAATACTGAAAAATTCTAATTTTTTGGGTGCAAGCATACCAAGAGCAGCTCTTATTTTTAATTTATTAGTTTGACAATGAAAGTGATAATTTGGTTCGATTATGATTAATTTTTATTAATTTAAATTTCAACGCTTCTATTTGTATATATACTTTGATAGCTTTTAGGTTACTATCGACATACCTGAACTCTTAATTATTCTATTTTTCAGACATTTATTGAAGTAATAAATACTACATACAATTATTTTGAACAGACTATTCTTGTGAGATTATTCTCTACCAATATTCTTTTACTTTTTATGATCAAGATATTCGAAAATTTTCCAAAAAATGATCTTCACTGCTTAAAAGACTTCTCTAGAGTTTGAATGTGCTACGCCGTATTTTCTCTCAAAATATAGACTACGTTCACATATCGAGAATTCAATAATAAATCATTTTTACTTTATAATATAAATCTAGGATTATTTTAAACAGAATCGACCATATGCTACTGTGTTTGTGTTGTTAGTATTATAGAGTTATAGTAAATAATATCGTTCTTGACCAAAGTTTTGAATAAAAGATTTCTCTTGAATGCTGAAAATTATCATCTTTCTTTCAAATCTAATCTAGTCAAAAATTGGTTGAATGCTTATCCTCAAAAAATTCTGAAACTAACTCGAACTCTACTTTTTCTCAAATCAAAATGCATTATATTTTCTCTGATCGCATTCTCTGCCATGGTAACAACTGAAAATACAGTTTGCTAGTTTACTATTCAGAGAGAATGTATTAACTTGTTTCATATTTGTTCAACAAATGCAGATGATCGATATTCGGTACGGCCTGATAGGTCTTGCTTATTATATTGATTTACATATCTATTCCAGTCGAGATTCAAAAGCAGAGATAAAAAGAGGTGGACTAAGTAAAAATTATAAATTAATGAAACCGAAACATCTAGAGCTTGATGCCAGAATGCATCAAATACTATCTTGTCTATTCAAAATGCCATGATTGAAAGTGTGAACAATGGATTTACTGGATAAGATACAGTTGAACAATTGACTCATGAAATATTGACAGAATAATACAATAAATAATGTTTTAGCGTCAAAGGTTTGGCTCATTGTCAGATCGAATAAAATATCGATGAAAATGAATGAATCTTTAATGTCAACTGTATGTGTTTTGATCAAGTGTGATTTTTTTCTCCAAGAGAATATCTAAGATTGAAGAATTTCTCTTCACTTGATTTAATTAATGAAACATCATTAATATCATAACAATAAGAAAATATTCATTCAATACAATTTTCTCATCTAAATATCGAGACACAAAAAAGGCGCTATTCTGTATCGTTAGTTTCTAGCAAATAATTTATTTTTAATTTCTGTATTCATTTCTGATACACTCTCAATTCCAATTTTTATTTGATTTAAATTTTAAAAAAAGGAAACATGATTGGTATTCCAATGAATCCAAATTCAGTGTATATTCCATATATAAATAGTAAATGATTGTTTATTTATTTTGATATTATTTTAATATTTGATCTTTTAGCTGGATGTTGCAAAGGAGAATTTGATTCAACATATCCAATACATCTAAATGGAATAATAAATCCAGATGAATTTCAAGAATCAATTAAAAAAATAAATCGTACAAATACTTCGTATAAATATTTAATAATAATTTTTCTCATTATTTATTCTACAATTATGATAAGTGGAGGAATCTGTTTTCTTATCAATATTATTTTATATCAATCTAAATATTCAGTATTAATCATTATTGGAATAAATTTAATCATGCTTGCTTCATTATTTTTCTGTATCGGATATTATATTATATTATCACAAGGTACATCACGAATACAACGAGCGATTGCTGAAGAATCGATGAAATATTCATCAAGGTCACCAATACCATGTAGTTGGAGATTAGATATTCCAAGAAGTTATAACAATCAAATTATTTCTAATGTAAATATTATATATTCATCTTTTTTTTTTCGTTTAGAATACAATTTAAAATATACGAGAAAAGCATAAGACGAAGATAGAATTATTTCTACGAAATTTTTTTTCTTTTAGTTAGTGATTGATATTGGTCGTGATGTTACTCTATGAAATGAAATGTATTAAATATTGTTCATCATGCAAAGAATCTTTCAATAAACATTAAATATATTCTTGTTTAATTAAATTCAACGACTAAATTAATATTTCTACTTGATAAAATAATTTTTTTTTCTTATAATTTATTGGCTTTACTTTTAAAAACCAAGACAAGTTCGATTTTCTCACTATCTTGTAAAATCTGATCGTTTTTTGACAATGGAATATCCCGAGAAGGAAGTGATCGATTTGACAGAAACTTTTAGGATATACTTAGGATCACGAGATCTACTTATAAACAAAATTTCAAGTCATAACTCTGTTGTTCAATTTGCCTATCAATACCTCGTCCTATAGTAAAAATCTAGTACAACTGTTATAACTCTGTACGGAAGGCTGATGAGCCCGAATCCTTTTAGGGTTATTCTAGTCTAGAGGTTCTGTCTATATTCTGTCTTCAAATGTTAATGTATATCATCGAAAATCGACATTATTGTTTATTTAATATCTACATGAAATTTTTCATAAACATCATCGATGAAATTTCTTTGAATTTATTAGAATTATTTCAGATATATCAAATTATCTTACATGATATTCTAGTCTTGTTCTATCGAGAAAAAAAATTTTTTAGAAAAAATTCTATTAAAATTATTAAACATTGTTGCATCTATTCAAACTCATGTCTCATAAGTGGCTCATAAAAAGCTTGTCAGCACAGCCCCTTTGGGACTAAAATGTGGGACTCACATATACTCTATAAGCCACAACCTAATTTGGTATGAATATGTTCTTTTAAGTAATGGAATATAATAAGAAAATTTGAAGAAAATGAAATGAAAGAACAATATGTTTAGAGAATGAACGTTTTATTCGTCTACTAAGAGTAATTCGAGCCGCTGTCAAGAGATCAAAGAATCCTTGTTTAATCATTTTTTGTATGAGTCAATTCATATCGATTCTTTATTGTATGAAATTGGTCTCCTAATTCATTCGGTTATATAAAGAACATTACATTTCTATTTATGAAATATCCAGACTATTGATTTTATCATGTAACGAATAAAAAAAGAATATATGAGATAACAAATCACTATAATGAGATTTCTAGAGAATTGAAAGAGTTGTGGATAGATGTTAAAGTATAAACAAGTACTATAAGGAAAAAAAGCTGTTAGCGCAATCCCTACGGAATTAAAATGTGAAGCACAATATAGCTGTTGTGACTGATGACACAGAAACAGTTTAGAGGCCATCCATAAAGGATGTCTAGGTAAAAATGGCATTTTTTGACCCCCCCCTACCCTGGACGTCCTGTTTTCAAAATTTTTTTGAAAAAGCCTATTTGCTGAAAAATGTTGTTTTTTTTCTTATGAGACGACTAGGTAGCAACGGACTTATGTTTCTGTTGATTCACCGCAATAGATGTAGACCCAAACTCGATCGGGTCTAACGCCAGCTTTCCCACTAACATTTAGTACCTTTATGCACATGGCTAAGTGAAAGACTCAAGTGTTGGGTGTGGGTGTGGGTGTGGGTGGGTGTGGGTGTGGGTGTGGGTGT